TTTGCTCTTCTTAGTATTACCACAACGGGATAATACTAAGGATCAGGTACGGGTGATGTAGATCTGACGAAGAAACTCTCTTGCGTTGAAGTGCTCGATCACTCTTCACTCCGGCAGGGCTTCGCCAATTCTCCAAAATTCCAGATCTGAAAAAATAAGGTCTAAGGCTTGTATTTATAGGCATGAGGGGTTGCGGAGCGGTTAAAACCGCTTAAAGGGCCCAAATCCGCACTGAGACACCCTAGGGGTGTCTTGGCCTGGCCGAGACACCCTTGGGGTGTCTCGGCTAAACCGAGGCACCCTTGGGGTGTCTTGGCTTGGCCGAGACACCCTTGGGGTGTCTTGACTTGGCCGAGACACCGTAGGTGCCTCAGTTCAGCTTTGAGACGTTTTCAATACCCGTTTGACCGTTTTCGCTGCAACTTCTTTGTCTGAACTCGGATCTGAGTGATTCCAAATGCGTTGGAAGTCTGACGAAGAATTCTATCAGTTCCAATGGTTAGATTATCTGTAGAATGAACGAGACACAAAGGGCATTGTTCCTTTTGTAAACATCGCGGGGTTCTCGATTAGCCTGTGCCTTCGTTATTCGTCAGCTCACGTAGTTCGTCGATTCACTTCAAGCGTTCATCGACATCAATCGAACTCTTGTGAATCGGATAGTGACGTTCATCGTCATTCCTTAACACTGAGCTGTTCGTAGAGACCTATAGGCAATTTTCGACGCCTACAGGGAGTAGTTGAAGAATCGAAGAGGTTTTTATTGAGGAGAATTAAGTGGAAGGAATAAATTAGTTGGGGTAATAGAATGTGGAGGAACTCAGCGATTTTAGCTAGAAGGGGAATATATCTGGGGATAATTTTGAAGAAAAATGGGAATCCCCCCCCCCCCCCCAAAAAACTTTTAAAAAAAAGTCATTCTAATCACCATTTAATGCCTACAGTCGAAACGCTGAGTTTCCGACGTGAGAGGGCGACGAACACAAACTGCAAAGGGTATTTTGGGTATTTTGAGCAGGGTTTAAACGGAGTTACGCCTGGGGATTCATTTTGGGGGCTGGAAGAAAATCGCGGGCGGTTTTGGGGGCAAAGCACCCGTTAAAAAAGTCTTGGGGGGGGAGCATATTTTGTTGTGTTTTGAGGGCTGGAAGCATTTTTCCCCAGAATTAATTCCTGCACTCGAGCCCCGGGCGGAGAGAAGAGGGTCTGGTCGGTAGTGATTGCATCACTAAACACTATAAACTTATCGAACTTGAAGCTGCCAGAGCAGTCTGATTAGTGACGACTGCGCGGTCGCGTTTGTCTTGTAGGCGCCATCGGACAGAAGGTCTGCAAGTACAAGACTTAACACTAGCGCAGTTCGTGATCATCAGTAATAGCACTAGCAAATGGGATATATTTATGATGAACAACAGAAAGACAAAAAAACAGATTCTATTTCTACTGTTGGACCATCGTATCATATGTATGAGAAGCTGATACATGAAATAACCCTAGTACTGGTGTATTGTACATTCTCCAACGCTATGACGTATACACACACATACATAAATATGTATCTATATAGTAAGATTTGTTGGAGTTGTTGATCTGTTGAGATGTTAGCAGAGTTTCTATATATTATGTACTAAACTATCAGGATTTGGAAAGGTTAGGTTGTAGGAATTATTTTTAAAGTAAATTGCTCAATTCCCCGAAGCTTGGGCATTTTAGATACCAATTCTTGTGCACATGCAATGCACGTGGTTAAATATTAATTTTTTTTATTTTCTTACTATAAAATAAGTCAAATTCATTTTGAGTTAAAATCTATAAACATGGATTATTACATTTGCCATAAGTTATATTTAAACATTTAAAAAAATTATGAAATAGATGATTAATTTTGAAAATTTCTTGGGGTCAGGAATAAATAACTAACAAGTTTGCAGTGGAAGATAGGGGAACGTAGTACATTCTTAAGAATTATTAATCTTTACTTAGTTTGTTTATAATGATAGGATCTCATTATTAACTAACTACAAGACCTAATGTATTTTTTTTTGTTGGACGTTCAAGGCAGGCAGAGGATCGATGTGAGTCATCATCATAATAAATGTTATACAATTTAAGTACAAAGAAAAAAATAAGGGTTAATCAATGGTGTAGTTGGTGAGGGAAACTCTAGCAGTTTAATTTGGTATGTGGATATATAATAGATGAAGATGGAGAAGAGTGGTTTTGAAAATAGTGGGTGCGTGTGGGTAATTAATATGATTTTTATTTGTGTGATTTTCTTCGTTTCTTCCGTTTCAAGATATCTGTGGTCTTGTGGATATTATATATATATAATATATCATATATATATATATATATATATATTATTATAATATATATATTAATATATATTATTATTATTATATATATATATATATATATTATATATTAATATATACTATATAGAGAGAGAGATGAGAGAGGTAAAACTCCTACTCAACTTAAGTGGAACGTCCACTAAGTTTCTTATCCATTGATGATTTATTTGATTGAGCTAGAGAAAAAAAAAGAAAAAAAAAAGAAAAAACATTATAGATGATCCGCCGTTAAACTTGATCTACATATTTACAACCCTAACACACCAATTTGGGGTGAACCTGTCGGGCGCTGTTTGACCACTCCGTCGGGCCATGTATAAAGTTCTATTCTTGAAACGTTTAAAATTGATACGAGTGGATGAAGGGTCAAACCACAAGGTTCACCCCAATTTGGATGTGTTCGGGCGGTTTTTTAGAATTGTAGATTAAGTTTAGCGAGGGCGGATATCTATAATGTAGCTTCAAATCAAGTAAATCATCATGTATAAGAAAGCTTAGTGGACGTCACTTAAGTTGATAGGAGTTTACTCTCTGCTCTCTCTCTATAATATATATACTTTATATATATTTATATATTATATATATATTATATTATATATATATATTATTATATATATATATATATATATCTATATTAATCATTTGAATACTCTCTTTTGGTTTTTTGGAAGAGTTTGGGTGTTAAAAAATTAAATTATCTAAGCCCATACATGAAATTTATTTTAACCAACACTCATGTGTAAAAATTACAATTGGCATTAAGATCTAAAATATGTATGAGATTCTCTTTGATTTTTATACAAACAATATCTATTTAAATAATAATAGTATAATTAAACTTTATGATCTGAAAAAAAGATCAAACATACAATATAAGTAATTGCTTTAAAATAACCTAATCTAGTCTAATAAGAAGAAATAGATGAAAGTGCTGTGAAAGTTATTGATATTTCTTGATATATAAAAAGATCAAATATACAATATAATTAATTACTTTAAAATAATCTAATCTAGTCTAATAAGAAGAAAATAACAAAGGCATATACATGTAGAAGGAGATGAAAGTGCTGCGAAAATTGTTATAGTTTTTTGGCTTATAAACATTGGTATGTGATGTTACATGTGAGAGGATAACAATTATAAATATACTTTTATTTAAATAGTAATAGTATAATCAAACTTTAAAACTAATTATGCAGTATCGTGAACTACGTGAATTTTATTTGGTGAGAGATCGTCATGTTGTGTCCTCATATCATAGTTGTTTGTTTTAATTTTCTTTTTTATAAATTTCAGAACAATTTTGTCTCTTTAACTTGTTTGGTGGATTTTGCAAATACCCCGTCCACATTATGTGCATTTGTAGGTCTATGCTGTTTCGGGGTTCGACCTCTGGGGAGAACATTATTTGTCTCACTAATTTGTTTGGTTTTTACATATACGCCATTCATCTTGTATATATTTGTAAATTTGGCATTTAATAATTTCATGCAGGTTTATATTTCAATTTAAACTATATTCTTATATTCATACAATGTATATTCAATAAGAATTCATCAATTTATCAACTTACTCTTACTTAATTGATTTATATTTGAATTTCAAGGGTATTTTTGTCTATCAAAAGATTTTTCCAAACTCGTGCTTTTAAAGGGAGTATGATATGATAATCACTTGTAACGTTTTTTTTTCTTTTTCGTGAAAATTACAAAATTATTAAAAAAAAGGACATGAAAGTGCTTCTCTATTATGAGCATTTTGGTCATTTGCGCGCATATGATTTTCGCTTGTAAATAAGACATAATGGTGTTAGTCAAGGGATTATCTAACAAAACTTAAGGGGAGTTAAATGTCAGTTTTAAAGTTTTTTTGGGTGTTGAGGGGTGTCATCTAAAAAGGGTTAAACCATCAAAGTTATATTCATCTCTAATACACATTGAATACAGGAGCCAACCAGAATACATTTCCACATTTTAATTCCTTATGCAAAAATAACGCATACAACTATATGACTAAAATATAAGTTGCCTTCAACTAATGCCATGCCTTTATTTCTCTATGAAAAAAATGGAAATGAAAAAGAAAAGAGAGAAAAAGAGAAGAAATTTTGATTAAACACTATAGCAAAAGTTGCATGTGTCCACACTTACTTTATGACACATACATAAGTATCATTATTTACAAAGGATTTAACAATAGTGACAAATAAAAAGTGTGGCACATTATAACTCATATTTGTATCATTAGATATATAATAAAATAGAATTGATAAAGGCTAATAGTCCCACATGGATTGTGTGAACTATTGATGGACTTAAATAGTAAATCTTAGATTTGAAGTATATTGATGATTAAACATTTATAATAGTGTATAAGCCAAATAATTCTATAGTTAGATGTGCTTTGGTGAGAATAATCCTAGGATGGACCTTCTAGGAAGTTATAGTGTTGAATGGTCTTTATATTTTTATGGTCTAGACATAGCAATGTGTCACCAAACTCACCACTATATATACACACACACACGCGCGCACACACACACACACATATTACATGTCGTGATTCTGCGACACATATATGTATCACAAATTCTATGACATATGTATGTGTTACAAACTTTACGATACATCACTGCTTTGGTATGTGTTGGGCTCTATTTGTCCGACATAAAAATTTGTCGCATGGAGATAAAAAATATATCATAATTTACAGTTTTTGTTGTAGTGACGTGTTAACAGCACATAAGTATACATGTACAGGCTTCTTGTAAGAGTTCTAAAATACCAACGAGGTATGTCCATTCTATGCTTTTAACCAACATATCCATCGAAAACCATTTCATCTTCAATTTTAATCAATTCATGGCAAAACGTTTGAGTTAGTGTCACTGACTCACTGATTGCTATCTTCTTGCGTGAATTCATGCGTTTCAGATATGCACTACAAGTCTTGGTCAGCACAGAAGCATTCATTGGCTTCGAGGGAGGCACACAATCGTTGACGATGACATATCCCCATCAAAGCACGGAACTAGGAGTTTCAGTCAAATAACGAGAAAGTATAAGAGAAATAAAAGAAAGATCCAAGAGAAAATAAATGAGGAGGATTCTTTATTTATTTTCAACTCATCAGGGTGGTCAAGTGAGAATTTTTACACTGAAGAAGTTTCATTTTGAAGTAAGATGCCAATATTCCTTGGCAAGCTCTCCGAATAAGGAACCCTCGGCTCTCATCAGTTTACCTGGTTCATCGTACTCCACCAGTTTCCCTGAAAGAGACATCAGTAACTACTAACAATAAAGATTGATTATCAATTTGGAGCTTGAAACACTTCAAAAGTTAAGGCCGGTTACTGATCCATCCTTTCCCCCCCTTATTTGATATATCAGCTTTATTGTGAACAAATAAACAAATAAAGGGATCATTTAGTCCTTAAACAAACAAACAACAGAAAGAACTGTATACGGAACCTTTTTTTTCTTTTAAACCTAGTAGGTATTCCAGCGACTGCAGGAACTTTTACTTTTAATACCAGAGAAAAGTGCTGCTATCCAGGGAATCTAACTAATTGCGGTAATGGTTTGGTGTTATAACATTATGGTCAGATGAATTTATCTGTTATAGAGACACTAACCATCACTTATGGCGAGAACCATCGTGCAGTCCATCACAGTTGGAATCCTGTGGGCAACTGTGATGACTGTGCAGCCTGCAAATTCTGTTCTTATGGTTTTCTGAAGAATCGCATCAGTGATATTGTCGATCGATGCTGTTGCCTCATCGAGAACCAATATGCGACCTCTCCTCAACAGTGCACGTGCCAAGCAGAATAATTGCTTCTGGCCCATGCTCCAATTTGATCCATCCTCAACAACTATGAATGCATTAGAGTTAGTCATAAACTGAATTATGTGAAAGAAGTCTTACCACCAATCATACAGCCATTAAAAATACTTGCCTAGAGAATCTAGGCCCTTCTCTTTCTCCAGGACAGCTTCTCGAAGCTGACATTTGCGGAGAACCTGGAATATCCGCAGATATGAAATGAGTGAGTGCTTATGTTCATGATAACTATGAGTCTATGACATGAGTGAGGGCCTATTTCTGTACAGGTTAATGCAGCATGTTCGTTCTCTGTTTTGTAAATTTACATATAAATGGAGAGCATCAATGAAACTCCTTCAAATACACTGTAAAACTTAACCACCTTAGGGCAAGATCATAGACGAGAAGTAAAAACATCAAGCAATTAGCACCAGCTTGTGTTTGCTTCAGATGCATCTTGGTTGGGGCAATCCGATTTCAAAATGTGGATACGAGCAGAAGGTAGGATGCCTTAAATCTCAAAATAATTAATCAGGATAGTGTAAATTCTACTTATCAAGATTAGAAATGTTAGGTCCGTGCAATAACCCTTGTTTGAGTAATAACAAACTCTCATTTGATACTAATACTGGTTTAAGATGATTTAGTATAGGTAAATACACGTATAGGACATGTACGAGATGAAACGGCGCTAAAATCAACTTGAAAGCAGGACATTGACCATCAATGGCGGCCCCTGGCCAATGGTGCGTGGAGACCATCGATGGTTCTAGAGATCCATTGATGGTGCACATGTCCAGAGACATCCAAATCATCGATGGTCGCTTGAGACCATCGATGGTCGAGAGCAACCATCGATAGTAACATCGGCTGATTGCATTTTTAATATTTTAATTATAGTTGTTTGTTGCTCATATGATCTCCATCCTCTCTCATGTTTCACACATCTCTTTCCTGACCTAATTGTGAGGGGTGTGTGTTGTGTGTGTGTGTGTATATATATATATATATATAGAGAGAGAGAGAGAGGAGGAGGAGGAGGAGGAGGAGGAGGAGTTCTAGGGTTTTGATTTTGGAGATCAAGAAGTGATTTTCGATACCCTTGAGCCTCGTCAAACTCTTACTCACCGCATGCAATATCATCGGATCATTCTGCAGCGAGGAGAGTAGCCCTTGGATTGATCTTCATCCCTGTTCTTCATCAAGCTTCGCTTATATCTTTCGAAGGACGGTTCATTTTATCAAAAAGGCTGTAAGATCGCTACAATTCTGAACTTATTTGATATTTTAATTTTGTATTTCATTGAGCTCCTTTATGACATACTCAAGCCGGTTGAGTTGAGCGCTGGGGCTAGTTAGGGCTAGATGGTACTCATTATGAGAGTTAGGTTAGACGACTGGTTTCAGGTAGATAAGAGGGTGCGGTCTTGTAAGCCAAATGAATCGGGTTGTGATACATGTGAACTTTTTTCATATTGAGGAAACCCTTCGTGAGAAAGAAGAGTGGACATAGAATTGTTTATCCAAACCACAATAAAATCTCGTGTGTTCCTTGGCTGATTGCATTTATGATATTTATATTGTTTTTTTATCGTTCATCGCTTTTATTTGCTATATTCCGCTGCATATTCTGTGTTAGTGGGAAAAAAAAAAGGAAAAACGATAGGTAATCCTATTCACCTCCTATCCAGGCTTGCGTCTCAGATCCAACAAGAGAACTAGGCAGATCCAATAGCGTTAAATCCGAAAACTAGGTAGATCCCATATCCTAAATTTGATACAACGGTGAATGAAGAAAATGTTACCTTCCATATCTCCTGATCTGAATAATGTCCTAAAGGATCTAGGTTGTATCTGACAGAACCATGGAAAAGAGTAGGATCTTGAGGGATAATCCCGAGACGAGATCTCAAGTCATAAAGCCCAATTTTCATGATATCGAGCCCATCAATAACAATCTTTCCTCCTGCCGGCTCAACAAGACGAAACAACGCGCTTATCAAAGTTGTTTTCCCACTTCCAGTTCTTCCAACGATACCAATTTTGTGGCCTTCTTCAAATATGCAGCTGATCCCCTGGAGTACAAGTGGGGTGTCTGGCCTGTACCTGATCTGCTTCACGTACAATTCAGCGGTTAGTACAAGTAACTTGTTTGCCAATTTCGAGATAACCCCTAAACTTTAAGAAATATCACTTAGCCTCCTTTAAGTTTGGGGTGTTTTAGATAACCCCCAAATGTTTTCAGTTTTTCAAGGAACCCCATGTATGTGCTAGATGAATCTAAAAAAAGGACCAAAAAACCTTTCTCAAGTCAGCACTTTAATTATTAAATTAAATTAAATAATTATGTGTTTTATAAAATTACTATTAATAAAAAGGAAATGAAGGTGTTGCGTGGACAGTTACCTGCAAATTTTGAAGCTCTATCCTACCTAAAGCAGGCCAATTGGGGGCAGGCCTTCTGCCTTTGATAATTTCTGGTGCCTCATTTGATACGCGCATGTATTGTTTAAGCCTTTCGACAGAGATGATGTGGTTTTCAAGTGTGCATAGATAATGAACAGAAACAATGAAGGATATGTTTAATGAGAGACCATAGGATAAAGCCATTCCAATAAACCCTGCATCAAAGAAGATAACCAAATATATATAACAACATTAACTCTACATTTTTCTGGGCAATTAGTGAATTATCAATAAGAATTGATAACATGGAATAGCCAAGGAATAACACATTGCATTTAATAAGGGAATCAGTGACAGAAATAAAAATTGATTGCATTAAACAAAAATAATTAAATTCCCATAAATGTATAGTTATGCTATTAATAAAGGGAATAGCTTAAAAAATGTTAAAAGTATCCATGCAATCAACTCATTATAAAAAAAAAAAATCTCTCCATATAAAAAGACTGAACAAGAATATTTATAGACTAAAAACTCAAATTCAAATTTTAAATCTCACAAATCTTAAGTTCAAATGAAATATCTAATCTGAAACAATTATGATTTTCCCAATCCTAAATAAACTAGGACTTTTCCCAAGGGATAGAGGCTTTATCTCCTTCTCCAATACTCCAAAGTTGTCCCGCATCACCTAATCTTTCATTTATTAGTTATTGTTCCTATGCTCCTTCTTGAAACATGGTGTTGAAATTTAGTCATACAAAAAGAAATTTGCTTTTCTTCCATATTGTTGGGCGCAGAGTCACGCCCTCACGCCGCGGAAGCGATATCACCTGAGAGAGAGCCCTGACTTTTATTTTCACAAAAGTACAAGTCAACCTCTATATTCTCGTTTTTCTAAGGAAACTAGAATAACTAGTAAAATTTTTGTTTCTCAAAGGAAACTAGAATAGAAAGTAAAATATTTCATCAAAGTGAAATATACACTCTTCCTCTCATCAGTTCTAAGACTGAAATATCGAGGGAACCTACAAGCAATGACAAACTCACAGTTAAGACAATACAGACACGAGATTTACGTGGTTCGGCAAACTTGCCTACGTCTACGGGAGGGGGTTTTTACTATAAGGAGAATATCAAACTATTACAAGTTCTCTCTTCTTCTCTTTCTTTTCCTCTCAAATTTTGATTTTACCCCACACTTTCCTCTTCTCTCTTCCTCTCTATTTATAGGAAACCAAGAGGGTGTGGGTTGGACAAGAGAGCATGGCTCTCACATGCTTGTACCATGGGTGTGGGTTGGACAAGAGAGCATGGCTCTCCCATGCTTGTACCATGCCCCCCCTCCCATGCTTGTACCCTAGCATGGGCAAGAGCATGGTCTTGTGCCCTTGTATCCATATTCATAATTCTTCATCTCGTACATCATTTGATAAATCTCAAATTTTGGACGAACACCACGAACTTCACTAGAGAGATCCAGGCTAAACCAGCTGCGCCACTATACCACGGCTGCCTACGTACCCTCCACCGGGATCAAGCTAATCATAGTTCTGTAACCATTCTCCAACATAGTCTCCACCTCACCTCCATCACCGCCCCGTAGGGCCATGCCCTCTTGGGAAAATCAACACGGGCTGATATGAAGCAAGTCCAAACAATGCTGGAACTTACTACCTGTGACCACCTTGGTTAACATGTCTGCAGGATTCTTATTCGTGTGCACCTTCATAAGAAAAATATCACCTTCCTCTATGACATCCCACACAAAATGATATCTGACGTCGATATGCTTGGTACGAGCATGGTGAACTTGATTCTTCGCCAAGTGAAGCGTACTTTGACTGTCGCACCACAAGTTCACGCTTTCCTGTTCAATCCCCAAATCTTCTAGAAGACCCCACAACCACAATGTTTCCTTCACTCCCTCCGTCATGGCCATGTACTCGGCCTTTGTTGTAGAAAGTATCACTGTAACATGCAACATCGATCGCAAACTAACTGGAGCCCCATGTATCCTGAATACATAACCAGTAGTAGATCACCGTCTATCTAGATTGCCTGCATAATCTGAGTCCACAAACCCGTCGATCTGACATGTATCTCCACCAAAACACAGACCCGTATCTGTGGTACCCTTCAAGTACCTCAGAACCCATTTTACAACTTCCCAGTGTGTTTTTTCCGAATTCGCCATGAACCTGCTGACCATACTAACCGCTTGTAAAATATCTGGACGTGTACACACCATTGCGTACATTAAACTTAATTGCACTAGCATAAGGCACACGCTCCATGTGTGCTTTATATTCCGCTGTAGTGGGAGATTGTTTACTAGAGAGCCTAAAATGTGGAGCCAATGGAGTCACCACCGGCTTAGCACTTTGCATTCCGAACATCGCGATCACCCGTTCAATGTAGCCCTTCTGACTCAAGAACAATCGCCGATTCCTCCACTCTCTTCTAATCTTCATACCCAGTATTTTCTTTACAGCGCTCATGTCCTTCATCTCAAACTCTTTGCTAAGTTGAGATTTCAACTTATCTAAAGGAAAATAATTCCGTGATTTTCATTGATTGACAAAGGTCCATTATATACATGAATTGCTACAGGATATTAGGCTAAGATTGAGGAACCTAATAAGACCTTATTAATACACGTGATATTAGGCTAAGACCTAATTAATACACGTGATATTAGGCTAAGATTGAGGAGCCTAATAAGACCTAATTAATACAAATCACTATTTTCTAAATATATACATATTCTCTAAATATATACATATTCTGTCACACCCCCACAGTCGAAGCGGGAGGTTGTCGTACGCTAAGACTGTCCCTGAAATCCTAAAATAACACCAAAGGAAGACCTTTTGTGAAAATATCTGCAATCTGATAGCGCGATGGGACATGTAGGACGCGTACTTGTCCACGAGCAACTTTCTCGCGAACAAAGTGAATATCCATCTCGATGTGTTTAGTGCATTGATGCTGAACTGGATTCCCGGAAAGATATACCGCACTAACATTATCGCAGTAGACCAATGTAGCCTTATGTATAGGACAATGTAACTCCAGAAGAAGATTGCGTAGCCAACATGACTCAGAAACCACATTGGCAACACCTCGGTATTCGGCCTCGGCACTAGATCGAGATAATGTGGCTTGGCGTTTAGAAGACCAGGAGAGTAGGTTATCACCAAGAAACACACAATAACCAGAGGTAGATCTCCTGGTATCTGGGCAACCACCCCAATCTGCATCTGTATAAGAAAGCAAAGAAGTAGTCGATGAAGGATAAAGATGCAATCCATAATGGAGTGTACCCTGAATGTAGCGCAGGATGCGCCTGAGAGCATGCATATGATCATCCATCGGATTATGCATAAATAAACAGATCTGTTGTACCGCATAAGAGATGTCAGGCCTCGTGAAGGTAAGATACTGGAGAGCTCCTGCAAGGCTGCGATAATGAGAGGGATCCTCATATGGAGTGCTAGTTTTAACACTAAGCTTCGGTTTAGTATCAACCGGAGTAGGACAAGGCTTACAAGATGACATGCCAGCACGTTCAATAATTTCTTCTGCATACTTTTTCTGAGACAAAAATAGACCACCAGCATGTCGATTGACGGCGATACCCAAGAAGTAACTCAGTGGGCCCAAGTCTTTCATAGCAAATTCGGAGCTGAGAAGTGACATGATAGACTTGCGAAGATCATCAGAAGAAGTAGTGAGGATGATATCATCCACATAAAGTAGAATGTAAGCCATATGAGTACCTTTCCGGTAGATGAAGAGAGAGTTGTCTGACTTGCTCTGAGAAAACCCAATAGAAGAAACATAATCAGCAAATCGTTTGTACCAGGCTCTAGGGGATTGCTTGAGCCCATATAACGATTTACGCAGAAGACACACATGATTAGGACGATCCGGGTCCTTAAAACCCAAAGGCTGATGCATGTACACTGTTTCTTTGAGTTCACCATGTAAAAAGGCATTTTTAACATCCAGCTGATGAATGAGCCAAGACTTAGAGAGAGCAAGACTGAGTACTGTGCGAATAGTCACCGGTTTAACTACCGGGCTAAAAGTTTCTCCACAATCTATGCCAACCTGTTGACCTGCACCATCACCTACAAGTCGGGCTTTATGCCTCTCAAAAGAACCGTCAGATTTTTCTTTATGTCTGAAAATCCACATAGACCGAATAACATTAACATCAGGAGGACGTGGTACTAAATCCCACGTCTTATTTGTAATGAGAGCATTATATTCATCATCCATAGCCATTTTCCAATTCGGGTCTTTGAGTGCAGACACGGGATCACGAGGAAGAGGAGATTTTTTGACACGAGTAAGAAGTCCATGATATTTTTGATTTGGTTTAAAAATACCATGTTGGCTCCTCGTAACGGGTTTGGTTTCTGAACTCGATGTGGGCTGGAAAATGGGAGGAAGAGGGAGATGTTGTGTTTGGTCAGAATGTGGCCTGAGAGCTGACTGGCCCAAGGTGGAAGAAGATGGTGCTGTAGTGGAAGAGGTGGACTGGGCCGGCTGTGGAGAAGAGGGAGTTGACTGGGAGCTAACTGGCATGTTGGGCAGGGAGGTAATGGGCCCAGTTGGCGAGCTGGGTTGCTGGGAAAAGGAGTTGTCCACGGATTGGGTTAGGGAGGGAGAAGAAGAAGATGGGGCCTGCACTTGAGTTTGTGGAGTGGACTGATGTTGAAAATGGTTAATCACATAAGTTGATAATCCATTGTCAAGGAAATCATATGTTGTGGAATTAGGAGTATGCAATTTTGCGAAGGGAAATTCGGTTTCATCAAATAATACATGGCGACAAATGATAATTTTATGTGATGATAAATCATAGCATTTGTAACCACGATGATTTGAAGGATAACCCAAAAATACACAAGGTGTGGAACGAGCTTGAAGCTTATTTATCGTAGTAGAGGGGAATAGAGGATAACATAAGCAACCAAAGACTCGTAAGTGAGAGTATGATGGTTCTTTTTGGTATAGAATTTTTAGTGGCGATTGATAATCAAGAGTTTTACTTGGTAAAATGTTTAGAAGATATGTTTCCATTTGCAAAGCATGGTGCCAAAAAGATGAAGGTAGTGAAGCATGAGCTAATAAAGTGCGAATGATATTATTAATGGAACGGATTTTCCTTTCAGCT